TGAGGTGGCTCTGCACAAGTCCGAGGCCATGCACTTCCATGGTCCTCGGAACAGGCCACCACGGGGATCCTCAGCGATGGTAGGAGGGGTATCCATCGGCGTCGAGTCGACGTTGAAGTACCTAGGACTCGTCCTCGACGGCCGATGGAACTTCGTTGAGCACTTCCGACGTTTGGCTCCCAAACTGGAACGGACCGGGGCTGCCTTCAGGCGGCTCCTGCCGAACCTGGGGGGGCCAAACGCCTCCTGCCGGAGGCTCTACGCGGGGATTGTGCGGTCCATGGCCCTTTACGGGGCCCCGGTGTGGGCGCATGGTTTGGCGCGGCTTGCCGTCCACCACCTGAACGCGCCCCAAAAGGTGGTTGCCGTAAGAATGGTTCGCGGCTACCGCACGATCTCCCGCGAGGCAGCGTGCCTCCTTGCCGGATTGCCACCATGGGATCTGGAGGCGATAGTCCTCGCGCGCCTACACGAATGGCGCGCGGAGGCACTATGCCGGGGGGAAACCCCGCTGCCACGGCAAGTTGTCGTGCAGCGGACAGACTTCCGGCATGATCTCATGGCGACATGGAGAGATCGACTGTCGCAACCCCGTGCTGGGCACGCCACTATAGCGGCGATAAGACCCCTCTTTGAGGAGTGGCTTGAGAGACGCCACGGCGTCCTCACCTTCCGCCTGACGCAGGTCCTCACCGGACACGGTGTGTTCGGGAGGTTCCTGCACCGAATCGGGCGGGAGGAAACGCCCGGGTGCTCCCACTGCGAGGATCGACCGGAGGACACGGTGGAGCACACCGTGGAGGTGTGCCCTGCCTGGGCGGAGCACCGCCGTGTCCTCGTAGCGGCGATAGGCGGCGGCAACCTCTCGCGTCCGGCCCTGGTCGAAGCCATGGTCCGGAGCGAGACGGAATGGGATGCCGTCACCACCTTCTGCGAAACAGTGATGCTAGCGAAGGAGGTGGCGGAGCGGGAGAAGGAGAGAGCAGCAGCTTTCCTTCCCGGCCGCCGCGGGAGACGCCCCGGGCGTCGGGGGCTACGTCGTGGCCCCCGGCCACCGTAGGCGCGGGCCTGTGGACGGCGAGCAATGGGTAGCTCGCCGTCCGTCCGTCTAACGACGACAGGCCGTGTCGACGGCGCGTTTTGTTCCACGCGCGCCTCAAAGAGCTGTCAGCAGCGTGAAGGGGCCCGCAAGGGCCGACGCCTGCCGGGGCTGCGGGCTGTTCGAAAGAGATACCGCGGCTCCGGAACTTAAGGGCACTGAAGGAACACGGATGGTTTTTAGTCAGTAAAAGTCTGACACTCCCTTCCGCTCCACCCAGAGCGAAAGGCGTCATATAATGATTTTCCATCCGCAAAAAAAAAAAAAAAAAAGGGAACCGAAGACACTTTTTACTGAAACAGAGACATTCCATTATAGTCCTAACGGCTGATAACGCATATGCATTTTGATTCGCAAACGATGATACATTTAGATGTCTATGGGCCAAAGCAACTACTTACTATCAGGTGGACTGTGTGCTCGTTTGTCACTCTTATATTATAATTTTTTTAAATAATTATGATGTTAATTATAATAATAATAATAAATCTTTATTTCGGATAACAAATGAGATCCATATAACAGATATTAGAAAAATCACATAATAATAATAATAATACAGCTAGATGGACGAAGAAAGTAAAATGACACGCACGCACGCATTCACGCATGCACATATGCACGCAAGCACACACACACACACACACACACACACACACGCACACACGCACATATATATATATATATATATATATACGCGCGGGCGTGCTCGCAGCCATACATACATACATACATACACTCACAGGTAAGTCAGCCATGCAGGACCTTAATAGTTAGCCCTACGCTCCCTCTCCATGTCCATTTCATCACGCAAATCCTCGGTCACGTAGTGTCCCAAGTATTTGAATTGTGATACCCTCGATAAAGCAGTGTTGTAGAGTCTGATAGGTGGTATGTACGGGGGACTCTTGTTATTAGCATTAATTATAATTAAACGCCAACAATATTTATCATGTTATTTATTATTTAATATACTGTGAGCATGTATTAACAAAGTTATTTTAGTCGAGTTAGCCGCTTCTATCGCGCGGGCTGTTGCCAAAAACCGCACAGTCAGCCCGTCGCTAAGATATAGCAATAATAATGCCAGTCTTCCACTTCCGCGTTAATATCGCTTCGCCGCACGGTGGATTAACTGCCGCCTCGCTGCGTTATTGCTCTATGGTAAGCAATAAACGGAGAGCTGACAATGTCCGCCGCTCTGTCGAGTCTGTACGGGATCTTTGAAGTCCGTTTTCAAGAGCTTTATAAAAACGTTAAATTTAAATCTCTTTTATTTTTAAACGTTTCGATTTTCAGTCCACATTTTTGATATAACATAGACACATTGTGTACACAGTGAAGCGTATACCGCAGTTTGTGGTGGAAAATATGCGGGCGTTCCGATATTTTCACATTTATTTGTCCAGGCAGTTGATATATTATGCTTATGCAATATGCTCTTTTTAAAAAGATAAAATTTTTGCTTAAATTACGTAGAAACAAAAACATCAATAAAAAAACAATTGTACACTTATTCCAAAAACATTTTTAAATATATAATATCAGTACAAATTTTACAACGATTAAGGGGTAAGAGAATCCACTACCCTATATCATCTCGTGAGTGTTGTAAGTGGTAACAGAGGCAAATTAAAACAGGAGATAGATGGGAAGCATCATTTTCCGGATAATAACTTAGTAATAATAATAAAATTGCAGTTAACTATGGCAAATATCTCGCTTATAAGGCATATAAGGCAAACGTGGTAGAGCCATGCTGCAGCTATATTTCTGGTATAGTTGTAACACGAATGGGTCGGCTCGACCGGGGAAGGAACACGCTCTCACAGAATACCAGCGTAAAATAGCAGCTTAATGCTGCTGTGTTTCGTATGGTGAGTGTAGAGAACCAATAAAAATGAACCGGAGACCCTTTTTACTGGAAACGAGGCATTCCATCTTAATCCTCACGGGTGACAACGCATCTGCATTTTGATTCGTAATCGAGGATAAATGTAGATGTCTATTGGCCACAGCAACCACTTACCATCAGGTCGAGTGTGTGCCCGTTTGTCACCCTTATCCTATAAAAAATACTATGAGGAAGGCCTATGTGGATTTTTAATAAACTTACTTTAACGAAATGCTCGTGTGTTTCGCGACAGTCGTCAAATACTCAAATAGCACATTCTTAAACAGAAATTAATTGTCGAAATAAAGAGCTTAGATTAACAATCAATCATACTAATTATCAAAATTTTCTGTAAAATACCTACCATTAAAATATTAAATATTTTTAGATTTAGTATGTTAGAATTTTTTTCCTACTTAATATATGAATTTCAACTGTAATAAATCAGACATCTACTTTCAGTATGTGTATCTCCTTTTCCTTCGTTTAAGCCAGGATAGGTAGTTGTCCCATTCTAACCTCCATTCATCACGTGCACAAAAGCGATCTAAGCTCATAAAATGAGTGTTTATTGCTGGTCCTTCGAGTCGGAGTTTTAGGAAAAGTTCATGGTAAATTGGGCTTTTTGTCTTTCTTCTAAGAGCGGTGATATATCCAGTTTAAGAGTGGTTCAGGTGCGCAACTAATGGTTGTATCCTGCCGTTACTCTTCGCCGTATGAACGTCGCTCGGACAATGGTAAGCTCAAGGATTTACTTAATTTGTAGCGGATCGCTCTGAGTGTTTTCGCGGTCTCCAATGCGTTCTACAATGTTTCATCGAAAATTCAGCACGAGGTTTGTATTTAAGTATTGTTCAAACGAAAAATGGATGTTTCCATATCAACTATGTACACATTAGCTAATTGTAATTACATTTTAATGTAGGTATGTGCTTAAGTTAATGACATCTAGACATTGACTTAAATAATATTATGTTAGTGAAGATATATTATACGTATCATACACAATTAATTTGAAGATTTTAATTTATTGTGATTTCTTTTAATCCATATTTAAATTTATAATAATATAGAAGGTTATTAAATATTTATTATATAAATTTCATTGTGATTTCTTATATTTATGCGAACATTTATCGCGTTTAATTTACTATTTTAATTCCCAACGTTTCGGGTGATTTACAGCAAATCATGGTCACGGAGGGGACTGAGATGTTTGACGTTTCGATGTCACAGTTAGCCCGGCTACCTTCAGTTTTTTTGATAAATAATTATCAAAAAACTGAAGGTAGCCGGGCTAAAATCCGTATAAAAATAGTTAAATTTCATTGTGTTTTGATACAGTTTTGATTTAAGTGTTCATTTATACTATACAAATATCAAAATTATTAATAAAACTTTTATATATTACAGTATATATATATAACTGTTAGAGTTGATCTTTCGATTTCAATTTGGACACTATAATTTAATCGGATAGTGTTCACCACATTACTCTCGTTAAATTTCACGTATTGTCAGTTATTTATTTCTCATTCATGCGAGTTCTGTCTGCTTTCTTAAGTTTTCTTTACTAATTAGATTGTTTAGAGTCATGTGGTGTCAGCGTTAGAGAACCCATGATCCTGTTTTGACCCTTGGGCGTCGTAAGAGGCCACTATGGGAAATTCTTATTAATGCAAAACTATATCTTGTTTATACCGGAGGAAAAATACTCAGACTGGCAGCAGGACGCAGCGTCAAACGTGGAAGACGTCTGGTATTGCTACATTGATGCTCCCAAGCGTGATGATTAGGGCGAACCCTCCTAGTTATGGGAGCGGACTTTTACGGGACAATAAAGAAAGAAAAATGTATTTAGACTGCACTTATAACTAAATTTGTAATTAGATATTTCAGTAACCCTAATAACTTGTTACTCACATACCGCACAGTAATAGACACATTCTCGGCCTCCTGAAAAGCGAGAGAATATTGTTCTGAAATTCACAATCGTTCAAACTAAATATGCTCATATTTATCATTTTCTTTACAGTTTCGGAGCAAGGTCCTCACGAGAAGAGGCTGCTAAACGCGCTACTGGCCTCTTACAACACCTTGGAGCGGCCAGTAGCCAACGAGAGTGAACCACTTGAGGTCAGGTTTGGCCTCACTTTGCAGCAGATCATTGACGTGGTAAGTCATTTCTATATAATCAGTAACTATATTGATAACCTATTTACAAATAATATTTAAAAAAAATCATAAAGATTTTATGCTTATTATGCAAGCACATTTTGTAAATGATGTTAAAAGGATAAGGAAAAGTTTTAAAATTAGTATTAATAGAATTATTAGTACTGTAATTTAATACAACAATAATAATTAATAAAACAAAAGCATATTTCTCTCTCAAGTTTTGTTTCTTTTATCAGACTGGGTACAAAGTTCGATGTAACTCTTAGATGTGTTTGACATATTATGTAGCAAAAATAATTTTTTAAAGAAGTTGGCAAAAGTATATAGACCTAAGAATTTGCTGGGTTAGTCGTAACATGACCATTAGGAAGAAAAATCGAAGTATTACAAAAATGTCGGCCAAATCTATAAATATATGGGTTTCTTCTCAAAGGTTCTTATTAATCGCAAATGTCGTAGGTCGTTCGCGTAGAGTCACTTTACAAAGTAGTGTTCATGATCGTTTTACCGAAGTAATTTATTTTCACTTTCGCCAGCGCGCGCTTTTTATTTCCACTGAATGAAACGTTGAACATTCTCGAATCTAGATCAATTTTCAAACATTAAGTAATCATTAACTTCCTGTAGAGCAATCGTGATCAGCTATACGTTTCAGAATGAAGAAAAAAGTCAAGAATGTTTTGTTTTGGATAATACATTGTATCAAGAAAGAGAACATTGATTCTAGTTCTGTACAAGTAATGACTAACTGCTGTCGTAATACTGACTGCCTCATTAGCCTAGTGATCGTAAACGCAATTAATAATCATGAGGGCTCGGGTTCGAATCCCGGGTAGGGACAAATTCAGTTATTGGGTGATTGATGATTGATGAATATTGCAGCTATATTAGTAGTATAGTTGTAGCACGAATGGCATGGCTCTACCACGTAATATAAATAATATAACTTATTAATTCGTATTTACCTGTTACGTTTCATATTACTTTTAATTGCTAGGTTGATTTACCAAAATTATTTCATAATTTCAATTCAGTCATAATTTAAATTCAAAATCATTTCCAGTCCGTATTTCAATAAATTTTCCAATTCAATTAACGAAACGGTCGGCCATCTATGAAACCTGTATCGTGTCCCTACAAATTAGCGGAGCTTTTACATTGGGTTAGTTAGAGGTCCTAAGTGCTTGGTTGTAGGTGTTAAATTTGTGTATTGGCTCGTAAAGTGCTCCGGGAACTATTTCGATTGTTACAAAATACATTGGTGCCAGCTTCGAGATATAAAGTCAAGAGATAATTGGACCTTTCATAATCCATAAATTCCTATTCACAATGTATGTGTGTACGAGGGTCAAGACAAAAGAAATAACTATAATTTTTATAATATAGTCTTTTAGTAATTTCCCCCTAATTCGTTTATTTAAATATAATAAAATTACATATTACATACGTGGTGGAGCCACGCTGCAGCTATATTATGGTCGTACCACGAATGTATGCCTCGAATGGGGTAGGACCACGATCTCACAGAATACTAACGTAAAATATCGGCTTAAAGTTTGCTGTGTTTCGTATGGTGAAGACCCTTTACTGTAAATTGCACCGAATACCCTTTTTACTGGAAACGAGGCATTCTATTTAGTCTTTAGGTGTAACAAGCATCTGTATTTTGATTCTTAATCCAGGATTAATGTAGATATAATGGGTCACAGCATCAACTTACAATCAGGTGAACTGTGTGCACGATTGTCATCCTTATTCTATAAAAATAATATACAATATTTATCATCATAATAAAAAAAAACTTAAACTAAAATTATGATAGAGATAAAATATAATGCCAAGAACGGTAGCTGCGTTTCCTCGTTGAATAGCCATACTTACTCTTACTAGTACGTACGGGAAAAGAACCAGCACGCTTGTCACCAGTGGCAAAAAGTCGTAGATACAGCTCGTTTAGATTTCACGTTTCTATAGTTTCATTTTTATTCTTTATTACAAAGTATTGAGCACTTTTCGCAACTCCCAAGCACGCGGAAAATACAACTGACTACTTTTCTTCGATATAGTATTAGAAATCACAAAAATATAAACAAACAGTGAGTCGTCTTTGCTTGAAACCACTTGCCTTTTAAATTTTCTTTGAATTATGAAACAGGAAAAATCACAAGGTACTAGAAATTACCGCTAGATTTTCGTATATACCATAAAGCCAAAGCGTAAGTCAAAATTTAGGTCTACCCTCTTTACAGTTTTCGAATAAACATCTTTTTGTTCACAGTATTTGACGATAACCGTATAAAACTGAATAAAATTAATTTCAATTCGTATAAACCAAATGTTTGAAAGACTTCAATTTATACTGCAAGTGATAAATGGTATTAATGTATCAATACCGTGTAGTGACGGTGTAAGAATATCCACTATCGCATATCATCCCGCGAATGTCGTAAGGGACGACAGAAGGAAACAAATCAGGAGATGGGCAGCAGCGTGTTCCTAATAACTACTAAAATTAAAAAGTTGCGGATGCCAACCCTATAGTTCAGCAGTGGACTTTAATACGCTGTAACAATAACGGTATGTCAATTACAGATGACTCCGTTTTCCTTTTCTGATTAGTTTACAGACGTGACGACTTATTCTATCAAGATAAAAAAAAAAAAAACTACAATACAAAGTATTAGTTCTTTTGGTGAAATGCAAAAGCAAACAGTGAAATAATATGTTTTTCTCAAGATATTCTCGAAAATATGTTATCCCACTTAAGGTCAAGCGCTCGACAAAGTAATAGAATCTTTAGACAGTTTCGACAACAATGTTAGCAGTTTTATACGATAACAAAGCTCTTAAAAGTTTACTCAAAATAAAAGGACAGAAGCTACTGTAGCTTTACTATCCGACGTGGCGTAATAAAAGTTTAAAGTATGTCCAAACATTACAACAGGTTAAAAATTGTGTAAATGTTTAATTTAAGAATAAGCTTACAAATCACTTGATGGTACGTAGCTACCGTAGCCAAGAACTAACTAAAAGAGATAAAACGATAGAATCATATGAAAGCTAATACTGATAATGCAATATTTGTTCATCAGACTGCGTAATTAATGTCAAAATTTATGATAATTTGCACATAATTTGGTCTTCAATTTAGGAACGCCATATCTATAATTTTTAAATAACATTTGCTAAGATTTTATTTGCTGGAAACGATTATCAATATTTAGTTCCCAGATTTATTGTAGTTTGGAATTATTTGAGGGCGATACGTGGCGTTTACGTATTAGAGCCTTGCTGTAGCTATATTACTGGTATAGTAGTAGCACGAATGGGTCGGCTCGACCGGATTAGAACCACTCCCTCACACAATACCAGCGTAAAATAGCAACTTAACGCTGCTGTGTTTCGTATGGTGTGTGTAGAGAACCGGAGACCCTATTTACTGGAAACCATTTGGTGCAACCATCTCGTATATGCTAGAAGTATTTAGACAAAGGACAAATACAAGGATCAGCGTCACAGTTTCGAGACATCTATTATTGCCAATCTAGGTACATCATAAAATATGTAAAATGCCAGTTGGCAGTTATCACTAGCACGAGCCGACTAGTAACGAGTTGCTAATTCTCCTGCCAAGCATGGCACAAAATATTATTTGATAGGAAAGTAAATAAAAACATTTGGAATCGAGGTTTGCATTGCAAGATAAAAACTATTGTTTAAGAATTAGAGGAAACTTTTATTTCCTTCAAATAAAGTTTAAGATAATAATGAGCTTGTCATAACATACCTAGATTTACAAGATTAACCGTGCACTGGAGTAAGAGTACATCCGGAGTTCAAAACACCTCGTAACAACTTGGCAAAGTTTTAAATGTTAACAATACCAGGTCTTCAGGGGGCTCAGAAGTTTTGATAGGGTAATTTGTATTTAATTCAGTCTGTGCCGGTGTCAAACTAACTTTGGTACACCTGTTTTCAGTGTTTTAAATTTAATAAACCATCAACATTTTGTAGATGTAGGATCAAAGTTTTTGGTCCTACGGCGTAGTTAAGTTTTGTTGTTAATCCTTCAAATTAATGTTATATTGATACATAGGCTTGTTACATAACTAGGTTTAAAATAAGGATTGATTTTGTTGTTCAAATATGCGAAACGTCTGTTAATTATATAATTGACTTCTAAATAGAGATAGCGAAGTTTGACATCTATCATTTTATGAGGTAGAGCCACACTACAGCTTTATAAGTAGTATAGTTTTGCATGAATGGGTCGGTTCGACCGGGGAGGGACCACGGACTTACAGAATACCAGTGTAAAATAGCAGCTAAAGGCTGCTGTGTTTTGTATGGTGTGTGTAGAGACCCGGAGACCCTTTTTACTGGAAACGAGGCATTCCATCTTAATCCTCACGGGTGATAACGCATCTGCATTTAAGTTCGTAATTGAGGATAGATGTAGATGTCTATGGGCCACAGAAACCACTTACCATCAGGTGGAATGTGTGCTTATTTCTCACCCTTATCCTTTAAAAAAATCTCTTAGGACATATTGTCCTCTAGATCTAATTTCAGTCACGGCAGCCAATCTTAACGGAGACTGACTATCTACGAAGGACAAGATGAGAGTGCACGAACACATACGTGCGCAAACACTAGTGCACTCTCTGTCATAGTCCGATAGGACAGAAATTCAACACGATGTGCTTGTCAAGGCAAGGGAATTGAACACCATCAACTTCCTGATTCTGACCTGCTACTGAGAGTGTCTTGACAGAAAATTACCGTGTACCAATAACTGATCCTATCACGATCTGTGATCACATGATCACCTGTTGCATCGACAACCACAAGTCTATACTTATATAAAAGCTCCGTAATTTACTGGCTGATGAAGTAAAGATCACTATAATATTTATTCTTATTATTTCTTATTATTTGTAGAAACTAATTCATTGATGGACTCTATTCTTCGTCAGGTTATGGTACCCTAGCTATAT